AAGAGTACAAAAAAAACATGTTTTTCATTTCATGAAAAATGCTAAAAAACGTATTTATTTAATTCTATTGATGAGAATTTATACCAAATTTCAAGTAATTCTGAGCATGAATATTTTTTTGTAGGAATGAGTTAATCTTCCGGAGTAAAAAGTAGCCTATATCACTCTCCACCCCTCCAACTATCTCCACACAAAAAATCACGCCTATCCGTCACTCTGTTTTGGCGTGAAAGAAGGACAAAAAACAAACCAATAAACAAACAAACAAGCACACTTTCACATTTATAATATTAGTATGGATATAAATATAGGTGGATACATATATGTAGCATCGATGCTGTTTGGAAGACAATTTGGTTCTAATTATAAGTATTAAAGAGTTTTCAGGTTTGAAGAAACTATTGGAGCAAAGATAGTATTTTATATGTACCTATATCTAGACTAATTAGATAAAATTCTTTGTATCTATGTTTAAACTTTTTTTTTAATTCGGAAGTGGGAGCAGCAGGGCTATGTCTGTAATGCTTCCGGTAGCGCGGGCAAAAACGCGCGAACGGGCGTTATTTTACATTATTTTTAACTAAATTTATAACTAACCCTAGCTGTATATATATATATATATATATATATATATATTGTATGTATATAAAAATCGATGTGTGCATGTATATTCCCTATGAACTCTAAAACGGCTGGAGCGATTTTGATGAAATTTCCAGGCAATTTTCAGAGTAGCCCAGCGGATGATCCTGTGAAGTTTGGTAGCGATCGGAAGTTTGAACGCGGGTGAAGCCGCGGGTACTGCTAGTATGTAATATAATTCTACACCGTATAGTTTTAAGTCAAGGTGATCAAAATAGGGACCATTGAGTGTATCAACTCGTATTACGAAAAAAAATACTTCATTCTTGAGACTAAACATAACTAAATGTAGGCATTGAAATATTGAGTTAATGCTGGTGTTATTTTTAATAACAACTTTCTGGGTGTTCTAATATTAGTGGCTAGCATGTACGGCTGCAGATTCGGAGGTCCTGGGTTCAAGTCCCGGGTCGAGCCAAGTTTATGTATTAAGTAGTTTGTTAAGAAATTCTCAGTAACAGCCCGGAGTTGGGACGTTGGTGGCGTTCACTACATGCCTCGGAGAGCACGTAAAGCTGTCGGTTCTGTGCCTTAACTATCACTGGTCACGTCGAGTAGTCGTCCCACTGGAGTATGAGAGTGATACAAATTGGGAGTACACTTGTATTTTTTCGCGTACACTATAACATGCAAATGGCTAGTGTCAATGAGATTAGCCGCCGTGTCGTTTATTTATTTTTTCTATATATTATATGTAATTTGCCGACTATAATATATATTTATAAATAAAAACAACATAACATTTTCGTCGTATGTTCTAATTACATGTGATCAAGATATAGAAAGGAGATATTTTTTTAAAATATTACACTTATTAATGTTTCCTCTATGCGTTTCTTAGTCTGTGTATACATATAATAGGCAAGCGCGTGCGATGTTGACCCCTGTATTAAAAAGTGTCGTTTGTCTAAGAATTGGTGTGCCAAAGATCGCGATTGCTATGCCTTCAACATTAGTTCGCGGCCTATATATCGATGTCAGGGTTAATCAACCATACATCTATTTTTAAAATAACGAAAATATACTTTTATTAAATTTCCTTTTTGGGAAGAAATCCAAAGAAATAAATTTTATGTACAGAAAGTAACTAACAACAGAGAGTTCAAAGTGCGATTTTAAAATAAATGCTCTTTAATAATTTCATACATTAGTCTGTGTAGAATCTGAATACGCTATTTCAGCACAGTAGATAATAATAGGTACTGATTATTATGTGTTGTATTTGTATAGAACATATAACAAAAAAAAATTAAGATAGTATGATAAATTCAGTGTTTAAATAAAAAAATCCCATTTAAATTTCTAAATATTTTATAAAATTATTATAAACGATTGTTGGTTTTTGAATTGTAAATATTTTAATTTACTACGAAATGCCAATATACATATTCTTACATGTCAGCCTTCCTATTTTCTAAGTTAATGGAATACCATTATGAGTTGTATTTTTATTTGAATTAAATAATAATATAATAACAATTTCAAAACAAATAAATCAAATAATCATTGTCTTGTATAGAGAATCTCAAATTTCTATTTTATTACATCACAATAATATCTGCAAAGAAAGACTAAATCTAAACGATCTTTAAATTTTTTTGATTTTTTAATGACTTTAATATTATTCTATAATTATAAAGTTTAATTTTAAATAATATATTTTTTCTTTATTTCAAACTTTTTTTAATAAAAAGGTTGAGCATCTATGTAATCCTAGATCTCAATGCGTGTGATAGTTGCGTGCGCGCATATTTATTGCTATCCAGACGAGGGAACGTGCAATTGTCGTGGCGCGGGCGGGCCGCGCTACCCTTATCTGTTCACTAAGGTAGGAACATTTTTAATATTATATTTTTTTTATAAACATTCCTAGGGAAACAATATATGGAAATACCATAACATATTCTAACTCTGTTACATATAATTAAAATAAAAAGTTTTTTTTTTAATTCATATAGGTACTCCAACGATTACATGGAATGACACATCTTAAAGATCCTGTTAGATAAACAATTTTCAATAATATTTTCCCAATTTTATGAAATAATGTAGTAAGCATTATAATTTATAATATATTTAATACTTGTTAAAAATAAGTTTATAGTTGTATAGTAAGTTTAATATTTATTCTATATCTTCTATATTATGATTGCGATAGTGCATTCGTTGGTGTATCCTATTTTAACGCTGAAATAAATCGAAGGTTCGGTGTATTTTCATGTGGAAAGTAATATGAGCTTTATAGCTACTGTTGTATCAAAAGTTCATATAGAACTATATAGCAATAAAACAAGTTAAAATTTCAGTATGTTTTATTGTGTACTAGCGACACCATCGCTTCGCTCGGGTGCGTCCCTAGGTACGTTTTAATTTTTTTGAGCGCGACACTAGTTATTTTACTAAAATAAAAATAGCTTAAGAAAGTATTCCCTATAACATCAGATATTTGCCAGCGAAAGTCCCGTCAAAATCAGTCCTGCCGCGCCGTTTCGGAGATAAACCGGAACAAAATAACAGACAGACAAAATTTTTTAAAAACCGCTTACCGTTTATAATTTCATATACATTTAATAAAAAGCTGTTTTGACATTACAAACAGATACTTCAATTATATTTATTTGTTAAGAAGATCTTACTCTGCAACTATAAGGACGCGAAGCTCTGTGTTTGCAAAAATTGTATTTTGACAGTTGCTAAGACTGAAAGTATTTATATTTAAAAAATATATTTTGTTCCATAAATAAAAGAGCTTTTAATAATTTATTTTGCTTAATTGTAATTTAAGTATATGAATAGGATATTACGAAAGTTTTATAGCGGTAAATTCGTAAGTCACTATTGAGAGTAATGTTTGACAAATTAAGGTAAGCAATGTTGTTCTAGTTTATTGTATAGTTATATTTTTCAGTTATTTCTTTCGATTTAATTTTGATATTACTACTGTCATTTTTACGAAGTGTCTAAATGAATTTTATTTCACTTTCGTTTGAAATAACTTAAACTAAGCTATTTTTTACTATACAAATCTATCTTTCGCTGTTCTAGGTTAGAATACGTTTAAATTAAATATAATACCAATTATTATTTTTCATATTTCGCCTTTGACAATTTTTTTAAAATGTCTGTCCGTCGTCGGCTCTATACGTACAGTGTCAGCCTTGGCAACAACAATATCTATCGATACGGTACGTCAGATCAATTCAAAGGTTAACTGCCCAAAACTAAACGAAAAGTAGGTGAGAATTCCAAAGACAATTGATCATAAACAAAATGGGCTATGCTAAAATTAATTATTAAGGCGCCAATTGCCACTGTCAACTTTATTTAGACAGATGCGAACAGCATTGCTTTTAAAAAGGTTAGTAGGACATGCCCGTAGGTTGGATGGTATACAATGTTAATTTACTTTTATTGAGTCCCACAAATTTTTCTCTTAGACGCCCTAATTTGATCCCCTGGTCATGTCTTAAATATTAGTAGTGATTGTAATGTGTTTTTAATAATTTAAATGGATTCGTCTCGGTGTTTAAGATAGTATGTTGAATATTATCATGTTAAATGGCACGAGTTTAAATTTCTGGCCATAAACAAAGACTAATTGAATATTTATTTTTAGAAACTGATTCTTTTTGTCCAGCAGCAGGTCAGTTTTAAGATAGCGGGTTCGCTCCCTTATTGTAATATTATGTAATATTATCTATTTTATACAGATAAATAAAATTGTAGTGTCTGTTTGTAATGTCAAAATAACAGCGTTTTACTAAATGCATATGAAATTATATACGGTACTTAAAAGAAAAACATATTTTTTTAAATTTTTGTATGTCTGTCTGTTTGTTCTGGATAATCTCTGAAACGGCTGGACTGATTTTGACGGGACTCACTGGAAGAGAGCTGATGTTATAGGGAATAACATATAAATACTTTTATTTTCGAATTAGGGATCCGCTCAAAAAAATTAAAACGTACCATATTATAATTACGTATTATAATTCAACAACAAAGCTTCAAAACGTAATTTTAAATTGCGTTAGGTGTACATAGTTTTGAAGTATTATGCACGATGAGCGTCTTTTATAACATTTTACTACAAGTCGCTCGTATTCTGTACGAACTCCTTAATGCACTTTAATAAGAAGTAATATATATAAAAAACTCTACTCAAATGAATTACATTTATTCAAAAATTAAAAAATATATTGCATTGACGTAATCTTAGTTATATCTTCAGCTAGCTCTATTTAGATTTATAAAATCGTTAATATACATAACTTCTTTCGAGGAGTAATCTGTGGTGAGAATAACATATACATAGTGTACTTTTTACTGACTAAAATGAAACTTCTATATCAGGCAGTATGTGGCAAGCAGGCGTCGCTTGTCTAGTGCTGCTGGTACTACCAGTAACCGGGAAAGACCTGGTGGAAACCAGGGAGGAACTGCCCCAAGCCCAAGAACCAGACCTGGTTAATTATGACGACTATAATCCATTTGGAGAAGATGAAAATGGTAATATTTATTGTAATTAATTAAAATTTTATTTAATGGTTAAGCGTAAGCGTAAAAATATTGAAGAAATATTGTTTAGTATATGGACTTAATTATTGATTTAAGTTGACATTTTATATATATTTTTTTAGTTCAAGATGATAATTGGAATTCTATTTATTTTATTATGTTTGAAACTTGCCTTACTTGTTTTTAATCTTGAAGTCTACATTGCAATATTTATTTGCTAAAAATTTTGACAAACTATGCCTACAGTAGCGATGTGTTTAATTTTTTTTTTAAATTGATTTATTTCTACTTATTCAATTTACAGCCATAATTGCTGAACGTGACTTCAGAGGGTCTACTACGCGTAAGTTCTCATATCAAAGGTTTTTTTTTTAAATAAAAAAAAACTTTTTTTAACAAGTATAAATATTAATTGTTATTATAAGTAATCGTAAAAATATTTGATAAATAACTAAATATCAACAAAAATTATAAGAATGTAATGCAGTTAAAAGTTTTTTTTTTAAAGATAATATTTTGCTAATATGTAGCAGTATTTAATGAAAGGATTTTGTTTATTTTTTTAATTTATATCGACTTTGTTCCAGCTACTCCCGCAGTCCGAAGACCAGTAAATAGAGGTGAGAAAATGGCTTTAAAATATATATGCATAATTTTAGTTTAACTAGTCTAGTGTGATATAAAATTTTATAAAAACATTATTTATCGTATTATACTTACACTATGTGCTGTTATACCTATTATATTTATATTAGTGTATTTCATAATTAATTTTAACTTTTATGTTATTTTTAAAGGTATAGTATCTATATGTAGTTATTATTTATTATTGTTATTTTCAAAAGCTCCGCCAAGTCGATGCTTGGATATGGGACGAGTGTTCACGGACGGGGACACGTGGAAGAGAGACAACTGTACCCTCTGCCAGTGCTACAGCAACCGCGTCAACTGTTCCGTGCTACCTTCTTGTTTATCATGTATGAATAATTTCATTTATTATTTTTCGTAACAAGCTAATTAGAGTAGACTAAACATATAATATTGTCCTAAATGAATTCGGCCACGGGGACCAGGCTCAGTCAGAGTAGCCAATTGCGCGGAAGATATTATATCGGAACTGCAATCCTCTGTTCCCTCTCAAATTCTGTTGGGACAGTAAGTCAACAAGACTGGTGAGAGATCAGACTGAGGACCGACGGCCTGACATACTTTCAGAGGTACGGGAATGTAAAAAACTTCGTAACTCCGAGCTGCTACTGTGATGTTTTTTTACAGGATTCAATAACTATATGTACTCGGGATTCGAACCCAGGACCTACAGATCTGCAGTTGGACATGCTAGTTATTAGACAAATGAGGTGTCATATCTAATTACTTTTGAACCTTAATTTTTTTCACCAGCACCTACAACCAGTCGTCCACCACTCCCACCACCTGCAGTTGCACCTCAATCAAGTATTCCTGTACGGGGAATGACTGGTGATACCGGTGTAGATGGGCCTCCCGGTCCACCAGGTGTACCAGGAGTGAATGGTTTTCCCGGTGCCCCGGGTATACCGGGTCCAATTGGACCAATGCCTGATGTGAGTATATTAGAAAAACAAAAAGTTATGCCAAACGTGCTTATAACAAAAAATATCTCTTCTTTTATGGGTCGGTAATTTAGTCAACTAAAACTAAGTTAAAAAACGTATAAAAATATGTTTAAGTACATACATATATGTTCTATGTTGTAATAATATTTGTATAATGAAATGACTCGGGTGTGTTCCTAGGTCTTTTTGCCAGTTTTTTTTGCTTGATTTCGAACGGTTTACACATACACATACACAATAAACATAATATTTTATCGGAATAAAAAATAGCCACTCGGCAGTAATGTACCGTCCAATCTATATATATAATAAGTAACATAATATAATAAAATTGTAAATAAGCCGAATCTGTACATTAAATATTTTTTGGTAAATTTTATTGAAATAAACATTATTATTGATACAGAGTCTGTTTGTCTATCTGTCTGTTACCGCATCACAGAAAACCCACTGGAGGGATTTTGATGAAATTTGGTATGGTGATAGCTGGTTATCCGGGCCAAGATATAGGATACTTTTTACCGCGAGAAAATATCTCATTTTTGAGAAAAAATACATAAACTGCAATGTAAGAGTATACTAATATTTAAAACATAACAATCCGAACGCGGGCGGAGCCGCGGGCAATGCTAGTTAATAATAAAATTTTCAAAATTAGATCAGTCTGATGGATTGGATATATCCAAACTTACAAACTTTACCTCTTTAGAGTATTAGTGTTGAAGTGTCAAAGTATGTAATTCTGTTATTATTGAGTCTATTGAATATGATTTGACTATTCGATTCATAGACTGATTTTCCTAGACCGTATATTGAATTAATAAATAAAATTAAAAAAAAAACACGATAAAATCAACGAATTCCTTATTTCTATTGAAGTATTCGTAAGGATGTATATGTACACCAAAAAATATGCCCGTTACGTAAGAGTATATTATTATAGAGCTATCACTGAAGACGTCTATAAATCTTTCTATGAAATCATCAATTTCTAGGCAAAATCTATATCTTGGTGAAAAAAATTTACAATTAGGTACGTTCGTTACAAATCACAAGCTGAATTACCTACCAGATTTAATTTTCGGTAGGATTTCCGGATATCTAAAGAGATTTTAAAATAATAATTTTTTTAAGGTAAATGCGTATCTGGCTACATTAGCGGCTGCAGCGGGTGGAGATAAGGGGCCCGTGTTCGATCCTTACCACTATATGCAGGCTTCTGTTGGGACTCCAGGAGTTAGGGGAATACCAGGTATACTACTGTAACATTTAAAATGTTATTTTATGGTCAATTTTTTTATAATTAACATGATTTTATTATAATAGGTAAAATATTATTATACTACATAATCAGTTTTTAACAAAAAAATATTATTTTGTATTTAGGTCCACAAGGTCCCCCAGGACCTCAAGGTTTTCAAGGGCCTCGAGGAGAACCTGGCGAACCAGGTCTTCCTGGACCAATAGGACCTCCAGGTGAAAGGGGCCCACAAGGATTGCCAGGAAAAGATGTAAGTGTGATTTTTATTGAAAAGTTAAAACACTTTTTTTCTTTAATTATCTATTTTTATATAATTATATAATAATAATATTATTATTAAACAATATTCAAGTAATATTAATCAATCGATTTTTTAGTTGAGTTAGTTTAGTTTAGAGTTTAAGCACAGTACATGTTACATAATTACATTTATATTTAAGATCATTTTATACGTATTATAATTTTAAATACTAATATGAAATGTTTATGGATATGTGTATGTTTATGTATATATGTATGTTTATGTATATATTGTATTTATTTTGTTTTACTTATGATTATTCTTATATATTTTCTTATCATTTCTTTGCACTTTCTCTTTCTGTCCCGCTACTTGACACTATTTCCCACATGCATCGGTTGACTGGAAGAGATCTCTTATAGAGATAAGTCCACCTTTGTCCACGTCATTTTCTATGTATTTTTTTTTATTACTTGTTTAGTGCAATAAAGAATATATATATGAAATATGTCGTGCCTAGGGAACATCAGGCGAAGATGGTGAACCTGGTCCACCTGGAGCTGCTGGTCAACCAGGACCTAGAGGCCTTCCTGGATTAACGGGAATTCAAGGTCTAAAAGGTCATCGGGGATTCGACGGTAAAGATGGAGCTAAAGGAGAACAGGGTTTACCAGGCGAGAAAGGACCGACAGGCTTACCAGGACCAATGGGACCTACGGGCCCGATAGTAAGCTACTTATTAAAATTTTGAAAAGTGAATATAATTATGTAAATTCAGTGATTCTTTTAATTTAATGAAATTGTATGACATCATTTAGTAAACTAAGTTAAGTAAACTAATTAAATTGATTATTGTCTTCGGCTATGGAACTGTAAAATAGAATCTGTTGTATTTTAGGGTCCACTTGGTCCACGAGGTGAAAGAGGTCGAGAGGGTCCGCCTGGTACGCCTGGCATGCGTGGAGTTGATGGAGCTCCCGGACCACCAGGGCTTATGGTAAATTTTTATTTATAGTTAAAATAACTTGAATTCAAATAATTATTAAAAATATCAATTACTATATATATTTAATATATAAATGTCCCTTTTAAAAGGGCAACGTTGGCAAAACTGGATCACCTGGTTTTCCTGGATCACCTGGTTTAAAAGGTGAACAAGGTATTTCGGGTCCTAAAGGCAGTCAAGGCATGCAAGGTCCACGAGGAGAACCTGGAAGACCAGGACAGCCTGGTGAAGCAGGTCCTGTAGGTTTAGCTGGACGTGATGGAATACCCGGTGAGAAAGGAGTGCAAGGTCAAGCTGGAGCTGCCGGCCCTCAAGGTTTTCCTGGACCTAGAGGAACACCAGGCTTAGCTGGTGATCCTGGGTTACCTGGATCTAAAGGGATGCCAGTAAGTATTTCAGAAATTTAAAATATTTATATTATATAGTTAGATAAGATTTGATAATAAAAATTACACTAATGAAATTAATATGACAAATGTCAGAGCTTCTAAGTAAGGGAGTGTGTGTACCTATTTTACGTTTTATGGCTAAAAAGTTTTGACTTGGATAAGCACTTTGGCTACTAGTGATCAACTACTATTACTGTGAAAGAGTCATTCGCAAAACTAGTATAATTATTTGTAATAAAATCTTTAGCTAAACAGTATCACACACGAGGCGAGCAAAGTCGTAGGCAGTATTTAGTTAACTATTAATAAAATAATTTCTAATTTATACTGTTTATTATATAATAATTATAATTATGACATATTTTTTGTAATTAGGGACAACCAGGAGAAAGAGGATCAAAAGGTGAATCAGGTATGAGAGGTGAACAAGGTGCTCCAGGACCACGAGGTTTACCAGGAACCATTGGACCAGAGGGAAAAAGAGGGAAACGAGGCTTACGAGGCCCCGCAGGTAATGTAGGACCTCAAGGAGAAAGGGGATTACAAGGCTTAAGAGGGTTACCTGGATTAGACGGTCCATTGGGACCAAAGGGTCAAGCTGGTGAAAGGGGTAGTGTTGGCCTACCTGGACCAAAAGGAAGTATCGGTGACGCTGGCAGACCAGGGCCACAGGGTCTTCCTGGACAGAGAGGTTTAATGGGAAGACCTGGTATAACAGGAAAGTCTGGACCTCCTGGCGAAAGAGGAATTCCCGGAGCAGATGGTAGACCTGGCGAACAAGGACCACAAGGTCTTCAAGGACCACCTGGACTTATAGGTAGCCCTGGAGAAAGAGGTTTGCAGGTAAAGTATTTCAGACGAGTGTGTTAGTACTAAAAAATATATTTGATATGTATATAGAAATATGTATGGCTATGTTACAGTTTTCTTTTTGACTTATTATCTTATTACTTACTTTTAGCTTATGAACTAAAATGAAGTGTTTTCAATACAGGGTGAACCAGGCAAAGATGGTGAAACTGGTCAACCAGGACCTTCAGGACCTAAAGGAGATGCAGGACGGGATGGAAATCCTGGTGCTCAAGGTCCGCAAGGACCTGTTGGTCCTACAGGTGAAAGAGGTGCTACTGGTCCTACTGGCCCAGTAGGTTTCCCTGTAAGTATAATTAAATATAATGTCTATTATTAGGTATAGCAACATGTATTTATAGGTATAGTATATTATTAATTTCATAAAATATAAATACACTTTTAGGGAATGCCAGGAGCCGCAGGAGTACCTGGTTCACCAGGAAAAGATGGAGAACCAGGTGTATCTGGGCCCGCTGGACCACCTGGTTCCGTCGGGCCACGCGGTGAACGAGGTTTTCCCGGGGAAAGAGGCATTCCTGGCCAAACTGGAACACCAGGTGAAAAAGGCGAAGCAGGAGCTCAAGGATTAGATGGCCCACCGGTAAATTAGCAATTTTTTATCCTAATAATTATAATTTAAAAGTTACACGTATTATACATTGTATTTAAATATAATTCACTTTTCTCTGGAATAAGATAAACTAGTAACGTTTTACTATTACTCATATTATTTAAAAGTTAAAATTTTAGTATTCTCTAAATTGAAATTATTTAACTAAGATTGCATTCATTTAATTAAGTTTTATTTGATATTTAAGTGTGATATTTTAATGAAATGATAATCTATTGTAGGGTCCAGAAGGCCAAAGAGGTAGTAAAGGTCATCCAGGTCCTATTGGAGCTATGGGAATGCCTGGTCCACGAGGGTTAACTGGCATGACTGGTGAAAAAGGAGAACGAGGGTCTGTAGGCCCACAAGGTCCAGAAGGACCATCAGGTATAACTACATATTTTATTTATTATTAAAGGAAATAATTTTATCGATAAAGAAATAATAAACATAATGTATCATCATGCTTAAAATGTCATTTATTTCACAATTCCCTTATTATAATAATATTCTATCATAGAAAATATTTAGACCCTCCTTTTTATCTATCAGGCCGCCAAGGTGAACAAGGACCTCAAGGACCTGTTGGTCCAACTGGACCACCTGGTGAACCAGCTGAACGTGGTGAACCTGGTACACCTGGACTTCCTGGAGAAGCGGGCGCACCTGGTGCAACTGGAGAGCGAGGCCAACCTGGTATGCAAGGAACTTCTGGCTTGCCCGGCTCGCCAGGCTTAACAGGCATGCCAGGCTTAAAAGGTGATCGAGGATATGCAGGAGCCAAAGGACAACAAGGGGCTACTGGAAGTCCAGGTAAAAGATTTAAAAATACACTTTCTACTAATTAATATTACGTTTAAGTCAATATCCATACAGCTATAAATACGAATAAGGTAGCAGCTTATTGGGGAATTTAGTATGAATAAAAATTATAATATTTTTTTTCTTAGTTAACAACAAATGTCATGATAGCATTTATTGATTAAAATACTTAATTCTATTATTATAATAATTAAAACTACATATGTATTATTAATAATAATCATTTTTTAAATTAAATATATTAACAGGTATACCCGGAGAGCCTGGGCAGAGAGGTTTACCAGGACAAGTCGGAGCTAAAGGTGCACGAGGTGAACAGGGAGCTAAAGGAGATATTGGACATATTGGGTTACAAGGAAGGCCAGGAGACATAGGACCGCAAGTGAGTTTTATAAACAGTCACAGCCCAGCTAAAATTTTAATTGTCTTATGACCGATTTCACCAACGTCACCTAAGTTTAAGGGATCCCCTAAGCATGGTTAGGGGGCTGTTTTAGGAGACAGTTTCTGTTTCACCGACAGTTAGGGGTCACCTAAATGTTGAAATGCCACCTAAATATAGGTACTAGAAATACGGGCTCTGGCGATGGTAAAACGAAATTTAATTTAGGGACTTGTTCCGGGGAACCTTTAAGTTAGGGATCCCATAAGTAGGTGGTAGCTTATGGGATGTTGGTGAAATCGGGCATTAAGGCTCTAACTGCACGTAACGCATATATTAACTTACCACATAGGCAATTATTTTACTATACGATACATATTTATATAATATATCGCAAGAAAATGAATTTGTGTGTAGCCAACATGCTTCGGATAAAAGCCTTCTTAAGGAAAAAATCATTGATTTTAATAATAATAATAGACAGCTTTTCTGATTACAGATCCCGTTAAACTTACTTTTACTTAATGTAATAGAGCAATTATGTACGTCGCCGCAATACAATATTGAAAAGGCTTTCGAAAATTTTATGGCGCGAATTTAAAAATAAAAGTATGTTATACAAGTTACATTAATGTTTATACTATGTTTAAGGGACCACAAGGAAGCCCTGGGCCTGCTGGCGCACCTGGTATTCCTGGTGCTAAAGGAGCTACAGGAGATTCAGGTAGACCCGGTCTCCCTGGTGCACAAGGCATGACTGGGCCGCAGGGACCTGAAGGTGCTAAGGGAGAAAGAGGAAGTGAAGGAGATATTGGACCACAAGGTCCACCTGGTACACCTGGTCCAGCTGGAGAAAGAGGGCCAAGTGGTTTACCTGGATTGATTGGAGCTCCTGGGCCGCAAGGGTTAAGAGGCGTACAGGTAGTATTTATTTTTAATTCATTGTCATGTTATGTGATGAATTTTAGTTTTATATTAATATTTTTTTACATTATGTATAGGGAGAAAGCGGTTCTCCTGGCAAACCAGGTGCTGATGGAGCAATGGGGCCTATTGGACCATCAGGACCTCAAGGACTTCCAGGTCCGATGGGTGAACCAGGACCAGAAGGTCGACCGGGTAAACTTGGCCAACCAGGAATTCCGGGCCGACCAGGAGATAAAGGACCTGTTGGTCAACCAGGACAAACTGGCCCTCCCGGACCTCCTGGATTACAAGTATAATTCGATTATTATATGTATAATAAATTTATGTTGCTTGAATGATATTTATCAATAAGTGTATTTTAGGGTCCCTCTGGTCCATCTGGACCACCTGGCCCTGCTGGTGAAAGAGGAGCTAGAGGTGAAACTGGGCCTCCAGGAGTTGATGGGCCTCAAGGGCCTTCTGGAAAACAAGGGCCACCTGGTTTAGATGGTATAAAAGGAGAAAGGGGTGAAGCTGGTGCAGATGGTGCGAAGGGTCATGCAGGATTACCAGGAATGCCTGGTTTGGTGGGTGCTCCTGGAAGAGCTGGTGATAGGGGGATACCAGGACCTATGGGACCACCAGGAAAGGATGGAGACGCAGGACCAAGAGGTCAGTATTAAAACTATCAAAACAATATTCATATTTGAGAACGACAAGTTATTTCAACCATTTTTGTAGAATCTATTATAATAAAATAAAGAAAATTATTCATTCTCAAATAAATTCCAGTTTGAATAAAATTCATTAATAATATAATAGGCTCACCTGGCCGAGATGGAAGTCCTGGTCTACAAGGACCATTGGGCCCACCTGGCGGCCGCGGTCCACCAGGTGAACCTGGGCGTCATGGCACTCCTGGAACGGTTGGCCCACCAGGCCCACCTGGCCCACCTGGTGAAGGTCTGGCGTATGATGCTGCTGCTATTGCTGCAATGCTTCAACAAGGTACTTGCTTCTTAAATCTTACATTGATTTGATCTTGTTTCACGTTTTTGTTTGTTGTTCAATAAGAAATTCGTTTAAAATTCATGATTTAGAATCATTATTTCACTCTATAATTATAGTTTTGGTATTATCTTGATTTTGACGATGATCTGTTTCCACATACTGTCCATCAAGAATAAATGAAAAGAAAAAGAGTGACGAGTTCTAGATTTAGGCTTTTCATAATGAGAGTGACCGCCATAACTATAATATCCCTTTACGACCGCGGACACGTCAACGTTACAGTTATCAATAGATTTCTTAGAAATTTAATTAATTTCTTAGAAATTTACCTGGAGGTGTTAAGTGGCCATAAAACCTTTAAAATATTGAATAAGTTATAAGCAACAATTAACAATTATCGATTAACAATAAAAAATATCAGTATTTTTTCTTTCTGTATGTTGTAACTTGTTTATTCAAGAGTTACTTTTTTATAATGCAAGCCGTTCTTATACTAATAATTCAATAAGATTTACTAATGTTTAGCAATAGCGTTACATTTATTTTACATGTACCTATATTTATAGGCTCTATCAAAGGCCCCGATCCATTAGGTGATGATCCCAACATTATGCCACCACGGTTCTTCAAAGAAGATATGACACTTGAAGAAAAGAAGAAAATAGTAATGAAAGCATACGAACAGCTTAAAGTTTCACTTGACAAATTTTTGAAACCTGATGGTTCTAAAGAGGCTCCTGCGAAAACATGCGGAGATATTAAATATCATCATCCAGAATTTGAAAGTGGTAAGTACAGGATTGTTCTATAATCTATACATTTAATAAAATTGTACCTAAGCCAAATCTGTACGTTAAATATTTTTTGGAAAATCTTATAGAAATAGACATTATTATCGATACAGAGGCCGAATCTATAGTTTTTAGAATTTTTGTCTGTCTGTCTGTTACCGCATCACAGAAAAACCACTGGACGGATTTTTATGAAATTGGGTATAGTGGTAGCTGATTATCCGGGTCAACATATAGAATACTTTATACCGCGGGAAAATATCTCATTTTTGAGAAAAAAATACAAAAACTGCAATGTAAGAATATACTAATATGTAAAACCTAAGAATTTGGTTTTTGGTTATCTGAACGCGGGCGGAGCCGCGGGCAATGCTAGTAGAAAATAATATCTAAATATGTTTATGTTCTTAAATTCAAATATATAGGTCAATACTGGATAGACCCTAACGGAGGAGACATGAATGACGCGATCCTTGTACACTGCGATATGCCAACTGGGGCCAGCTGCCTGTTCCCCAAACCGTTGATGTCAGAAGAACTCACGCATTCTGACAGGAACGAGGCCTGGCTTAGCGACATGGAAAATGGATTTTCGGTAATCTTTTGTAATTTCATACTAAAACAAAGAAAAAACTTCTTTTTTATCCTCCGTCAAAAACTATTTAAAAAGAAACTAATATATGCTGCGCATATTGACAAAAAGTATTGACAATTTGCCCACACCAGAATTACTTCTACTTGAGTAGAATATTATAGGCTCTAAATAAATAATATCTTGTGCTGCAGATTTCTTACAAAGCGGACCACAGCCAGATCACATATCTCCAGTTACTGTCTCTCAAAGCGGTCCAAAATGTGACACTTCACTGCCGCAACACAGTCGGCTATTACGATCCTGCCTCTAGGAACTACAAACATGGACTCAAATTGTTAGCTTTCAATGATGCTGAAATTCTACCAAAAGCGAACAACAGACTGAGATATAAGGCTCTACTTGATGAATGTCAGGTAAATATACATATTTTTCTTTTGATGTCGTTTTATAAAATACAATAATACAAATCAATAACATAAATATTCACATAATATATTTTGGTAATAAAAAAACTTCATTTTGGCTTGAATATTTTGTACTAGCGTTTTCTCATGGCTTCGCACGCGTAGTACGAATGTGTATAATTAATATATTTTAACATTATTGATAAAGTTTTATCAAAACCCGTTCAGTATTATTTACGTGAAAGAGTAACAAACAAACATCCACACATACATCCAATTACATTTTCCTGCAATTAATTTTAATATATCAATAATCAAAACATAACAAAACCAAAAAACTATATTTTCAGTACAAAAAGCTGGAATGGGCGAAGACTATAGTCGAATATGAAACTGATAAACCGAACCGTTTACCACTAACCGACGTGGCCGTGCGAGACGTGGGCAGGCCTCAGCAAGCGTTCAAAATTGAATTAGGACTCGCATGCTTTAGTTAAAATTAACTCCACAGATCTCCTGATGGTTAGAGTGCAATGAATAGTTAAAACTAACATTTATTTGAGATTATGTTATATTTGAAACAATATACCTATATAATTATATGATTTATAAGTTACTTTATAAGTTATCTAGCCAGAATAGCATTTTTGTATATTACCATTAACATATTTTCCATAAAATATAATGATTACAAGGTTATTTAGATATTAAAAAATGTTCATAGTTTTGATTCCTATATTATTTTATAGATTATATACATACATAAGTGTAATTTTTGAACTAATTAAGTACTTAATATTGTATTCATCGTTCTAAGTCGTCGCAACATTTTAGTTTTATTAACAAAGATCCTCTAAGGCTGTGTGCTGTACATAATGTATATTTAGTTATAAGCTAGTATTATAATGAACCTCGCCATTTTTATTATTATACATATATACAAAAGAAATGTAATCGTTTTAAAAATAATTGTTAAATTATATAAATAAATAATTGTTATTTTCTTAACAAGTATTTTTATTTAAAATAACGATAATCTTATAATTTAAAATATTATCAGTCTATAAAATTTTGGATTTCAATGTTGATTTCTATGCAGAAAGTTTCATAGTTCATTTACTTTTATCAAAGTTCATTAATATGTACAATAGTAGCTCTCAAGTTTTAATATTTGAAATTTCAAAAAAAAGGGATATAATAAACTTCTAATTAAATTTAATGAGTAATTGAATACTTTACTTTTAGAAGCGGAAGAGATGATCTACTTATATATTAAATATTCTAATGTCTTATATATACATTTAAGCATTTAAATGTAATATTTCCATAATTTATTTTAATATTATTATTTCGTTGAATGTCACAATAAGGTATTTTATTTGGAAATTACTATTTTGAAATATCCCTTGTCGGTAGAAATAAAAAAAAAGAAATAGTTATTATATGTTAAAGCCGGAAGTGACAACTAATTTGTTAATCTATATTTTTTAAAGCTTAACCTAATGTTATTTATTCGTCGCAGGATGCTTTTTTCACGCAAGACACAAACGGTGGCACGTCGCAGGAGCATTTAGTACATTTTTCATCTACAATTACATCATCTCCAACGTTTAGCGTTAAATTGCCGAATGAACACTGTACAGGGACGCTTCGGAGATTCAAACCGCGGATAATTTTTGTTGAGTTGGAAGCTGGAAAATGAAATAATTTTGATTATTATTTATATTGTTCAAGTAAACGGCATTATAATATATTATTTCCAAATATTAAGTATAAACACTCAAGAGTATTCGTTTGCCCATCTTTTACGCAACAACGAAGTATAAGATCGACGTGATTTATTGATATACGTGTAGTAGTTTTTATTTCCGTCTGTTCGTAAAAAAACACTTAGCAAATTCACCTAACGGAGAAATTAAGAATGTTCTATAAACTATTCCGGTCATGGGCTAGTCCCAGTGTGAAATTTGCACTGGAGAGTTCACGAAAATATACTCAAATGAGATAGGCTGACACATATTATATATTACATTAAATAAAAGCATTAACTTTTTTACGCTTACAGTGAAAGAAATACCAATTTGATGTCAACGGATGACCGAAAAGAAATAAGATCGATAGCGGCTAACAAGGCCCAAGACTCGAACAGGACCTCATGACTGACTTTTGACTCTTGTAACTAGCTTTTAGCAACTCCATCTTTGATATTTCGTCGATAAAACTTAACGATTTTTTAATATGATTTTTTAATATGATATAGGCATTAGAATTATACTAATTAAAGCTAGTTTCTTTCATGTAAAGCCAAATTAAAAACTTACGACACGTAAATGCAATAGGGCAGTTGCCCTTGCTATCACCAAAGTACACGGGCGCACAATTGTCAAGTATTTTGTCTTGATAATGGATTTCTAAGCCACAATTGACATCTCTACACATAGTGGGGTCGTCGGTGGTACCGTTCCACTGAGCAGAACATATGCACATCTTCTGAGTATTAGCGGGGTAGAAAGATTGGCCTTCTTTAAACGTTTGACCATCCACTTCACAAGTTTTCAAGTTTCCTATTGCGTCTTTGCCTGAAAAATAAAACTTTACTTTATATATACAAAGCATAGACAAATTATAATTATTATTAAAAGATCGAAATATATTATTAACATTGTTTTTTTGTCACAAAAGCTGATCTTATTATTATTTTACGACTAAATATTATTAATTCATAATTTAATTGAACTTATATTGTAACAATCATTTACATATTTGGTATTTTATTTAGATATACAATACTAATATCCTTAAGGACTTAAAATATAGTGAATGAGCAGACTCGTCCACGCGTTGCTGTGGCACACTTATAACTTCGTAAGTCAATAATTAATTTCTCAGGTTCTCTCCCCCGAATCCCTCTCTGGATATGAAAATCGTTAATTTTGTATTATAAAAAGGAAATAATCTGGATAAAAATTATTCTACCCTTTAAGTTGAAACAAATCACGTATTTAAAAAAAACTTCACATCCGATAAGTAGTTTCAGAATTCATCGAAGACCAACGTCGTGACACGAGAATTTTATATACATAGTAATTTTTTATTAAATAGAGAATTTTATATAATATATATATAATATATATAGTGATAAATAGTAGAGTTAGTGTTAGTGAATAAACAAAATTTTGTACATTTTATAATTTAAAATGATTTCAATTAAGTATAGCACTGCATAAAGTCTGTGTCACTTTTATTTTCTACCAACGTATTGCATATGATTGATTATATATAAACAATAGATTGATACTGTGCAGTAGAGCTGGCATAAATATGTTGGGACATTAACACACAGCACAATCTAGTGTCACAGTAAGCTACGAGGCTTGTGTTATGGATACCAGATAGTTGATACACTACATATATATATATATATATATAATATATATATATATATATATATATATACATATATATATATATATATATATATACACATATATATATATATAACTTTAAATACGTACATATTATAAATATAAACATCCATGAATGGAGTACAAACATTCGTGCTCATCACATAAATGGCATAACATCGACGTATCGATGTAGAGAGGAAGTGACCATTGTATTCTAAAACGTTAAATTAAATGAATCTATTTAGGTTCACTATCACGTTTTTAGTGATATTTGATTTGACATATTAACACTTTTTCTTATTGTTAGATTTAAGTATACTCACGTGATATATATTTTATAATAATAATGAATCATAATAACAATTTTATTTTTATGCGAATGAGCGACTTTATGAATATTTCAATGTGTTCATTTTTTTCTTATTTCTTTATACAATTATTTAATTTGAAAAGAAATTTGGGAATTATATCTAGCTCATAATAGATATTAATATTTTTTGATATAAATAATTAATAGTTATAGTTTCTCAATTCACTGTTTATAGAGGGCACAAACTGCCATTCTTTAATCTAGTCTAAATGGTAATACAAGAATTCAGCACACGACTATAAGCAAACAAAATCTTGCATTTACTTTCATCTCCACAGGTTAAAGTAGCCATTTAAAAGATATATGCTTCAAGCTAACTACTGAGTGACTAATTTACTTACAACACACTTTTGCCACAATCGCGATATTTTTTTCGGGAACCAAAATATAAAATATCTCGATTGATTCTCCATACAAACTTTCATATCCATTTTCACAGCAACCCCCCCCCCCTCCTCCCCCTTAAGGGATGATTTCCGGAATAAAAAATCCTATGTCCTTCCCAGGATCTCAAACGATCTTCTTACCAAATTTCATCTACGTAAATCGGTTGAGTAGTTTTTGAGTTTATGCGTTACACACTTACAAAGATAAAAAATACAAATCTCTTTATAATATTAGTGTAGAAAACCACTGCAAAATCCGGAAAGAGTTTCTTTTTAAAATGTCAAATATATATAGGTATCTAAGGAAGTATTATAAGAATGCTAGTGTCTTCAACTTACCGCAGACAGTACCAGTGCTGCAACAAGAGTCTAGTTCGTAAGTGTAGATGCATTCGTCCAGTTCATCATTCTTAAAGGATTCGAAACAATCGACTGCTGCACAGTCGAACTGGGGGCCCCCGAACATATTACAGAAACATGCTTGGGAGCACGAGTTTTTAATTAAGTTCTGGGGTATCATTGAACGGTCTGCGTATGCTACTCCCCTGGAAAAATTTATAAAAATATATTAATTTGTGCTTTGGATGGTACTCGTAAACCAACAAGACTTGACTTCATTATCATTTAAAAAAACACCCTTAAGGGCGGATTTTTATTTTCACAATTGATGAAGAAAGATTCAATTTAATTTAATTTTCTTGTTAATAGCTTCAAAATGTGCCAGTAGAGCACAGATTATTTTACCGATGTCACTTAGAATGGAGAAGAAATTTATGAGGATATCGAGGTAACATATATATACAAAAACACAGTAAAATTGAGTACCTTCTCTTTTTCAAAATCTATCGACAAAGTAGCCTACATGTTTATCCAGATTATAAGCTATCGTCCGAGTACGTCTAATGAGACCGTTCCTAAGATTTAGACATAAAACTTTTAAAACGCTCATCTTACAATTTACATAGGTTTACAGTGATTAAATACATTTATACATAATTCACATTTTAATGATTCTCTCTAAGAAGAGCTCTCCAGTTCATAAAATGTTTAGTAAGAAATATTATTATGTCACGTTTGCCTCAGTTTATAGTGACCCTACTTGTTGTGCCAGCGGTAGCGGGTTGAGTCCCAGTAATGAGCACGAAAGTTTGCACTCCATTCATGGGTGTTTTTACTTATAATATTTATGTATTTAAAGTTATATGTATAATGTATATGTGTAGTGTATCAACTATCTGGTATCCGTAACACAAGCCTTGTAGCTTACCATGGAACTAGATGGTGCTGTGTGTTAATGTCCCGACATAAATATGTAAATATACATATGCTTAATGTAAGCACAATGAGGTAAATTACATTGAAATTATATATACCTCGTTTTGTAATAGGTATGTACTGTTTATTGGTAAAATGATATATAGTATTATTTACTAGCACTGCCCGCGACTCCACCCGCGTTCAGATGACCAAACACCAAATTATTAGGTTTTACATATTAGTATACTCTTACATTGCAGTTTTTGTAATTTTACTCAGAAATGAGACATTTTCCCGCGGTAAAAGTATCCTATATGTTGACCCGGATAACCAGCTATCACCATACCAAATTTCATCAAAATCCCTCCAGTGGTTTTTCTGTGATGCGGTAACAGACAGAGAGACAGACAAAAATTCTAAAAACTATATATTCGGCCTCTGTATCAATAATAATCACTATTTCAATAAAATTTTCCAAAAAATATTTAATGTACAGATTCGACTTAGTTACAATTTTATTATATGTATAGATTGTTTATGTTGTCGTGACTTGTTATTGGAAGTTACTGGTACTGCAGGTATTGTAACAATAAAATAGAAACTGTATAGTGAGTCTTGCTTAATAAAATACATTCTTCAATAAGTTTTAAGTGTGCGAGAAATGTTTCCTATTTGTTTTAGAATCCATTCAAAATAGAAATAGCTATTTTAAATAAATATATCTGTTTGAATTTTGCCATGGTTTTATTTTAATTTTGTTTTCCCGGCGTATCGAATGCTTTAGCAAACGTGGTCACGGGAAAGGGCGGGACAAATTCCAATAAGATTAAAAATATTAAATTTTAGCGTAAATCTATAAAAGTACTGCAGAAAAAGCTAATTTACAATAATGAAAATTAATAAAATATTTGTCATAATACAATTTGTGTGCGCAGACGCAGTCGAAGGTTGTGGTATTTCCAAATGGCCGGTCATGAGGTCACGGGTTTTGTTTGACAGATGATCAACATATGCAAAAACGTATCCATTTCTTTGATTTTTAAGGTCATGTTTGAATAAGGCCTGTATTGTTTAACTTGTACAAGCCTTAAAATATCTTAAATGAGGCGAGTAAATGTTTACAAATAACTGGATCTCCATTGAAGCATATAATATTTTACAAGTTAAAAAAGTTTTTGTGGTCAGTTTTTGTGGTCAGTTGTGAGAGCGTGAAGGTTTAATTTTTCAAGTAAATTATTTATTATTTATATTATTAATTATTATCTATGTATTATTGAAATTATTAAATAAAGTAAGTTTCTTGTTCACTGGTTACGTAATATTGGGACGATGTTTTTGAATAATGATCCAAAATCCAGTGCCTTACTTTTTTATTTTTTTTATTTTATTTAATGATTTATTTCAGGCAATATTTACATAAAGATCTTAAATATGTAAACAGAGGCCCATAGCATAATATAAACCTTAAAATTAACATATATTTTATTCAGACTATCTATAACTCATATATAGTTTGAATAAAATATACGAGTATGTTAGTTATCATATCTATTTTATTCAGACTATCATTTACATACTATATAACATAATACTAAAACGATGGCACTAATTTTATTTTTAACCTTCACCTCCAGGTAAATTTCTAAGAAATTAATTAAACTAAGAAATCTTTTGTTAACTGTAACGCCGGCGTATCCGCGGTCGTGGAGGGATTATTATCGTAAGCAATAAATGTAATGGAATTTAACATTAGTAATTAAAACAAAAAATAAGTAATAATTTCCTTATTTTTATCTTAAAACTCTTTAGATTTCAGAAGATGACTCTCAAACTCCTTTTCTTCCTCAATTTCGGACTCTTGTTCAAAATGTTATGCTTCTGAACCGACTGGGCGGCTTAAGTTGTGTATCGTCTGTGTGTGAAAATGAATATATAAAATTTATATTAATTATGGAAACGAATGAAATGGTTACCTGTAATAGCACATATTTGGGTCTGGATGAAGATCAGGGCATTGGAAGGCGTCGGGACAGCTTGTAGTATTATCCACTTTAGGTAGAGCCTTACAACCTAACTCCAAATAAAACCCAACGAGATTACATTCTCCAGCGAGGTCCGCCCAAGCTGTACTTAACACTGGAAGAAAAATATAAAGGTATATTTAACTAAAGACATATTATTAGTGTTGGGTTTTAAAATAGGCCTATCCTTTTCCCGCCCCTTTTTTTCCACACTTGTCTATACATCGCGCGCACAGCATTGACACATAATGTCACCGATGCAAGCGCCTCTAGTGTCAGAGTTCAAAAAACCTGCTTCTAAAAACGACTTCAAGAGCAGCGTGTACGCGTCCGCAATATAATTACAAAAAACCTAAAAAAGTGCAGTGAAAGTGCAGTGCAGTAACCAAGTAAGTCCTGCCCCTTTCCTAAGGCCTAGATATATAGATATTTTTATCAAATTTATTACTTAATCAAACAAATTGGTCATTCGGCCGGGATACGGTTCCCAGTTACCAAATCAAAGCATTAGGACATTTCACTCACTTTACACTATACAAAGCTTTATTTCTAATCTAAAGTTTGTAATACTTATTGCAATTGTGTTTTCAAAATCCATTAATTGCAATATTCAATATATCGAATCATAAAAAAACGTACACGTCATTGTCTCACCAAAGATGGCGGAAGCACTCGATGTCTTATTGCAACCGCACACTATGAAAAAAGAAATGTCGTTTTTACGTTTACAAGCATTATACGACTTATCTAAAACTGTTGAGAAGGATAGCACAGCCCTTTTAGAATTTTCTGCGCGTGTAAAAGACATTGAAAAAATAAAGAAAACGTATGAGGAATCCGTAACGCAAATCAACCTTTTACACTTAAATCATACACCTAAATATATAGCAAATTATAAAGAAATTGAAGCATTCGATTCTTTATATTATAATATAATGGCTGTGGCTTCAAAACACGTTAGTGCAAATACCGAACAGACAAATACGCAAAACGCGCGTTGTGCACGGCCACGTTTACCTAAACTCGAACTATTCCATTTCGATAGTAAACTCGAAAATTGGCAAACATTTTATGACACCTTTTCTAGCTTAATACATAACAACGCTGAATTAAGCAACATAGAGAAATTTTATTATTTAATTACCTCAGTAAGCGGACAGGCATTAAACATTGTCAAAAGTCTGCCTGTTACAGCTGATAACTATACTATCGCATGGAATTTATTAATAAAGAGGTTCGAAAATAAACGAGTTTTAGCCACAAATTATTTAGATAGAATGTTTCAATTTAAACCACTATTAATCGAGTCGTCAGTAGGGCTCAACACATTTTTACAAACATTTCAAGAATGTTACAAAGCAATCAATTTATTAAATATTCCCGATTTATCAAGTTATCTATTGTTCTATATAGCATTCCGTAACCTAGACGCATCAACTCGCCGCGAATTTGAACAGAGTCGTGCGCATGATTCTCATCTACCTACATTCGATCATTTAATGCAGTTTGTCGAAAAACAGGTTCGCGTGTTGGAACTATCCGACCCTAAGATTAGTACGAACAAGGTTCAAAGTAGTACGAAGCCGATAACAGGCGCGATACCAAAGACTGGGTATAAACCGACCAGTTTTAGTAAGACATCCGCGCCTATACAAAAACCGTGTTTGACAGTGGCTAGTGTTAACCGGCCAAATAAAAATGTTAGCGTTGAGAGAACTTGTGCGTTCTGTGGTAAGTCATCGCATTCAATTTATAGGTGTTTTGCGTATAACGATTTAACACCTATTGAGCGTTTAAATAAAATTAGGGAATTAAAACTGTGTGAAAATTGTTTACGCGATGGACATTGTTTCAGTGAATGCCCCTCTAAAATTAAATGCACTTTATGTAAACAAATTCACCACCATACTTTACATTTAGATACGAATTTAAATGAAGATAACAATAATACAATTTCGAGCAATAGTTCTAATCAAAATCATACAGTAGCCTTAACGTGTTCATCAAATTCCACAGTGCTACTGGGCACTGCTGTCATCCACGTGAAGGACAACTGGGGTTCTTACCATTCCTTACGTGCAGTGATTGATAGTGGAGCAATGAGTTCTTACTTAACTAACTCTTGCGCACAACGGCTAGGGTTGCCTCGGCGCAAGTGTAGTTTTCAACCGATTGGGTTAGGTGGCGTACCAGTGCAAGATTTCGGGCTAATTACATGTTCAATAAAACCTCGAAACTCATCTGGACCTACGCTTAAAACCGATTGTGTTGTTGTGTCTAAAATAACCGGTAACTTACCTACGACAATCTTATCAAATCAAATAATTAATCAATTCAAACATTTAGATTTAGCCGATCCTACATACTTCAAATCCGCTTCGATCGATATGTTACTCGCAGGTGATATTTTCCCGTACATATACGATGGTCAAAATATACTACCTAGCGCACCGGGTTTGCCCGTTGCGATGCATTCAATCTTCGGTTATGTGATCGCGGGCGAAGCAAGTTTAGAATGTAAACATATCGAGAATTCGTGTTTATTTTCTACAAATAAAAACGAAGTCTCGTCAAATATCGACAATATTATGAGTTCGTTTTGGGAAACAGAAAACGTGGGTTTTGATGTTCCGCGCAACCCTGACGACGAGTATACCGAGTCACTGTTTTCTACACAACATACTCGCGATGACACCGGGCGTTACACGGTCATTTATCCTTTTAAGCCTAATTTCGAATTGGGTCGCTCGGAGCAACAGGCTTTACGTCGTTTTAATAATTTAGAGTCAAAATTAAATTCTTCTCCCGATCTTAGAGCCCAGTATAATGACTTTATGCGTGAATATGAGAGCTTAGGTCACATGACATGTATTGGCGACTTGGGTACAGTCGAGTCGAAATACATTATACCACATTTTTGTGTATTGCGTCCGTCTAGTTCGACTACAAAACTACGTGTAGTGTTTGATGCGTCATGTAAAACCACTAATAATAATTCTTTAAATTCCGTGTTGTACGCTGGCCCTAAGCTCCAATCAGATATAAATGAGATTCTTATTAATTTTCGTATTCATAATTATTGTTTGTCCAGCGATATTTGTAAAATGTTTCGAATGACGTGGATAAAGCAATGTCAACGGCAATATCAGCATATTTTATGGAGGTTTTCTTCTGATCAACCTATCAAAGTTTACGAGTTGAATACCATAACATACGGTGTAGCTAGCAGTCCGTATCTAGCCATAAGAGTTCTGCACCAGCTGGCAGATGACGAAGCGGCTAATTATCCCTTGGCTTCGAAAATATTAAAGAAATCCTTCTTCGTTGACGATTTATTATACTCGGTAGCGACTCTAGAAGAAGCCATGCAGCTGCAGGACGAGCTCGTCGCTCTCCTAAACAGTGGCGGTTTTACCTTGCGCAAGTGGTCCAGCAACTGCACACAGCTGTTAGAGCGAGTTCCAGCTGATCATCGCGAAACGCCGATTACGTTTAAAGACGATAAGGATTTGTCTGTTAAGGTTCTAGGTCTTCAGTGGACACCAGGGGAAGACAGTTTTTCATTTTCAACTGTACCAGTATCCACCGTTGCTACTAAACGCAGTATTTTATCGCAGATAGGACGTCAGTTCGATCCTTTAGGGTTCGTTGCTCCTTGCGTATTTTACGCTAAATGCCTTATGCAGAAGCTTTGGATCCTAAACCTAAGGTGGGATGATAGTCTTCCTCCAGAACTTGAAAGTGACTGGTTTGCTTACGCTTCAGAATTGCCTTTATTATCAAGCTTAAAGCACGAGCGCCAGGTCACTATCAAAGGACATTCATACTACCAACTGCTAGGATTTTGCGATGCATCTAGTTTAGGTTATGCAGCTGTGGTATATTTACGCACCAATAACGCGGTCGGTGAGGTAAAAGTTAGTCTTGTCATTGCCAAGTCTAAGGTCGCGCCCTTAAAAACTGTTAGCATACCACGTCTCGAGCTAATGGCTGCTCATTTACTAGCTAAACTTGTTAAATACACACAATCAATTCTTTCAGATCAGTTGCAAGTAAATGAAACGTTATTGTTCACTGATTCGTCTGTGGTATTAGGATGGCTCAACACTCCGGCGCACAGCTTAAAAACATTCGTGGCCACACGTGTCACGAAGATTCTAGAAGCTGTAGCTAGCAAATGCTGGTTTCATGTCAGTGGCGTCTGTAATCCAGCTGATATTTGTTCGCGCGGTGCCCTTCCGTCTACCTTAGTTAACACACCGGAATGGTTAAGTGGTCCTACGTGGTCTTACACCTCTCCGGAGTCCTGGCCTGTGCGTTCAATCGAACAGTTTCGACATGAACCTTTGCCCGAGCTCAAAAACGTCATCATAGCTTTAGTCCAAACCTCTGAACAAACTAACGTAGAATCAAATACTCTATCTAATGTAATAGAAAAATATTCAAACTTTTCCAAACTTCTCAATGTAATTGCTAGGTGTTATCAATTTATCAATAACTGTAGATCAAATAAACCACAACGTAACGTAGGCTCTCCGTCCCTTAGGGAAGTAACTGCAGCTCATGACATCTTAGTCAAATCGGTACAACTCGAGCACTTCTCCGACGAAATCAACTCGTTGTCAAAAGGAGAAGAAAGTATCAAGTCTTTACGCAAGCTCAGTCCTTTCCTAGATGAGCGCAGTTTCCTCAGGGTAGGGGGTAGGCTTTCCGAGTCCAGCCTCCCCTATGAGAAAAAACATCCCCTATTATTACCTAAGAGTAGTCATTTTACAATATTACTGATCGACTATTATCATAAAATTTATTTACACGTAGGTCCACGCACCCTACAGAGTTTACTTAATCAAAAATATTGGATAATATCGGCTCGCAGTATAATTCGCTCTCGCATTCTTAAATGCTTATCGTGTTTTAAGGTTAATCCGCCAACCTTACAACCCCTTATGGGAAACCTTCCTAAGTTTAGATGTGAACAAGTTCACGCGTTTCACACTGTAGGAGTAGACATCGGAGGACCGCTCTTTGTAAAAGAGAGTAACAGGCGTAATGCGAAGCTCTCAAAAGCGTACCTTTGTTTGTTTGTCTGTTGCGCTACGCGCGCAGTACACTTAG